AGCCCCTAGTGGCGTCCTTGCTCCTAGTAGTAAGGCCAGAAGCCCCTTGTAGCGTCCTTGCTCCTAGTAGTAAGGGCAGGAGCCCCTAGTAGTCCCTAGTAGCGAACATTGCTCCTAGTAGCAAGTCAAGCGATCTACACAACCAAGTGCTCAGCACACGGACGCCGTCACGGGTGGTGCGGACGGCCAAGCTTCGGAGCGCCGGAAAACCGGCCAACCCCGAAGATCTCGGGTGGCAGATGGTGGCACAATGGCAGACTTGAGGTGGAATCGTCATGAAAGAATTGTCTCACAATCCAGTAGCAAATCACTTAATTACGGTGCTTTCCAATTGGTGCTATTAGTGTTTTTCTTTGTAAAGTGCGACGTCATTGGCTGTCGCTATCGACTTGACGCACTTGCCATCCTCAGTTTTCAAGTCAAGAGGGTGCATCTCTAGGACTCTAGGACCTGAATGGCAGAGACCACACTCCATGTAAGAATGCCTTGTTCATCAAAAGTGCCCAGAAAAGAATTCCGAAGAACAAACACAGATCAGATCGCTGGCAGCACTGTGTATCCCGAATGAAAGGTCTTTAAGCCGCCGTTCAACGACCCAAAAAACCGCAGCAATCCTCGGGCGCCCGACAGGGCGCCTGAGAGAAGCTACTTGCCATCGCAGCAATGGGTTGTTGTTCAAATCGCAGCACTGCCGTCCGGGCAGACAGCAGTCCATCTGAAGCAGAGAACAAGATGCCTGGTCGCAGAAACATGTGAGGAGTTTCGGGCTGATACGGGTCTACAGGTCTTTTGCAGGGGTGAACGCTGCCTTGTGGAGGGATATTCACAAGCTTACAGGACCATTCTCGTACCGGTTTCCTATTCATATTTACCCCTGCGGATTGTTCCGCCGGCCCTTTTGGCTGAGGGGAGGAGGGGGGGGGGGGGGGGGGGGGGAAAGTTAGACTTGTCAAAAATCCGCGCCGTGGGTACAATTAGACTAAAAACACAACTACTACTAGGATAGCATACAAACCAATCACCTAAAACACGCCGCGCCCAAGGGCCGGCGGATTGTACAACATACATCAACAGAAAAGAAGTGTATTCTAGCCATCCGTCATCCATCCATCCATCCGTTCACACTCATTGACTTGTCACCAATTGTTGTCCAACTATCCATTACAGACATGTCGCTGCTGGCGCAGAAAGCTGCCAGTCACAGTGAGGCACCTTGCCCAGGTCAGAAAGCTGCCTGCTACGTTTTTGGGGGCGAAACCACGGTTGGTAGCAGTTTGTTTGGGGCTTCTGTAGTGTTTTTGGATCAAATATGCGCGTTTGAGGGTGTTGAAGAGTTCTGAGCGTTTTCTGATGTTTTCTGTGATTTTTCGATAAGTCTTATTCGACTGGCCCACAACCAAATGTGTTGAATGTGGATGGCAAGTGAATTGAAAGGAAAGGGTTAGTCTGCATATGTTGGTTTCCTGTGCAAAACCCAGAGGCTATGAATCTTCCGTTGTGTGGGTGTGTTGTGTGCAATGTGGGGGTCGGATCTGAGAGGGTTACATGCATGTGCTTGAGTGATGTTTTGTAGTTTTCTTTCGAACTTAGGGTGTTCTTTTGTAATCTCGCCTTCTGACACTGTTGAATTGATATTGCTTGTTCTCACCATCCCTAGCACAGCCAATCTCCAAGGATGTGGGTGCTGAAAATCAGTGATTTCATCACGATGAGTGGTGCCCCTTTGCACCACGAGGAACTGCAGGAACAGGGCCTTTTGCACGAATGGGATCCGAGCTTCTTCACCGTCCTCGTGTCTCACGAGTGGCTCGCGCAAGATCATCCAGATCCCAAAGGTTATCAATGTCACTGCTTGAGGACGCCTGGATTCGGTCAGATTTGTTTTGTTTATCCTTCCTTTTTCTTCAGGCGGGCGTCAAATCGAATGCCCGAAGCAAACGGATGAATTTCTGATGCCCTTCCATAAAGAACACTCGTGTGCGCTCATATGTTTGAACTGGTGCCGACGACCCCCGCATCCGACATGTGACTCCATGGCGCCGTTGGCCAGTCGAATAAGTATCCCAAGTATGACCACAATGTTTGGGGAACAAAGGAAGAGTGTTGAACACCTAGTTTTCCGACTTTGTCCTAAAGCTAGTAGAGGTTTTCCATGGTTTTCCTGTGACTACAGTAGACTCTAGACTCCAGATTTTTCCAATGCCATGCATGGAAGTGGATGACATGGCATGGCTATGAATGGAGAACCGTTTTCTGAGTTGCCAAAGTCTGTTTCACCAAAGCGTGTGACAGTTGGAGCAAGGGCATGGCGTGCTTCACTTGTGATAAGCTCACACAACCCAGGATGGCTATATTCAACATCATCGATGGCTCATTGAGGGTGGAATACGATGCCTTAGCTCAGAGTTTGGGTTTCCAGAGACACCTGAGCACTTCGGAAAAAGAGCAAATCCGTCACGGCTACATTTGGATGGACTGGTATTCCATTCCACAAACGCGCAACACTCTTCATGCCTCCATCGTGAAGTTGAAAGAATGTATGCCTGGCTACGTTGAACGTTGTGACCTGTGGCACAAGAAGAGGGACAAACGAGAGACAGAACGAGACCGACCAGCGGACCATGTGTTTTCAGGAACCTTTTGAACATGTTTGGCTTAGTTGTTGCACTGCATGCCTGAGGGATAGTGTTAAACCTCAAAGCACACTAAGCAAAGAACCAGACCCAAACGACACCCCAAGCTCCAACACTTCGTTCATCTTCCGCCAAGATGCTTAGGACCTCTTTTGCATTTTAGCTCCGACGCTGCACAATTCTTCTAGACGCCACGTGGCATTTTCCTACCAGACCTGGCAAAGCAGAGGTTGGTGCCGGGCAGAGGTTTGGTTCCGACAGATCTCTTCGAAGCAACGCCGAAGCAACGCCGCGTCGCTGCCGATGCTACTGATTTCAGGTGGGGGTTTTCAAGAGGGTCGAGACTCAGGCCGTAAGGAAGAGTGATCAGGCAAGAAAGGGTGTGGAAGATGACGTTCCTTTGCTTTTGGGGGTGGTATAAATGGTGGACAGATCCTGTTTCGTGAGATTTTTCAGAGGCGCTTTGTGGGTGATGTGTTTCTGGAGTTGTTTCCGGTAGCTCCAGCGTTTTCCTGGGTAGGCTAGTCATTTGTATTTTCAATTTGACCATTGATGAGCATTGCACCAACAAAATACTTGGTTTGAAAGCATCCGGCATCCTTCAAACCATTTGAATCCATTTGAACATGATTGAACAGCGGGCCCACCGTGTCCATGCGAAAGGCTGTTTGGGGAATTTCCTTGGGAAGTTGATCAGTCCACAGTTTCTTGTGCACAGAAAGAACAAGCGAAGAAAGAACCATGTGCGAACGCCAGTTTCTTGGGTCAGGTGATGAGGGGGTCAAGTTCCTCCGCGCACATTTTTGGCTTTATGCCACAGTACATGAGGGGGGCTTCACCATCGAGGAGGACCGTGAAGGTCTGAAGCCCATCATGGAGTTCTTTTTGAGAGAAAGGCGTGGCCCAAAAAACTGCTTTGGACGTTGACATCTAGAAAACAAGGAAGCTTGTTAGATGGGCTGCCAGGCTAGTGTGCTTGCTTCTTGTGACGCCGGCTTGGGACAGTTGGACAGTTTCAAAACATCACGTGATATTGGATATCTAGTTTGATATTAGATGTCTATATAATATACATAATATTCAGTGCGTATTTAAAAAAACGGTTGGTTCTCCAGGTTGGCAGACTTGCTGCTATTGCAGAAGCTCGATGAATTCCGATATTTTCTTGGGAGGTTTGAGCGAATCACTGGATCTGCTCCAAAAACTCGAAGTTTTGAAGAGTTCTTGACTGATTTCCAGTTCAACCAGAGACCTGGACTGATTGAGATGGATGGATGTTTGTTTGTATTTTTTTGTCCTGGATTCTTTGGTGTTGTTGCAAGCAGCACAGATAGGCATAGGGAAACATCTCCGTCAATATCAGGAGATACTACCACACTTCTTGGTGTGTTTGCTTTGTTTGCAAGAGAATGTATGTGTATATATATATATATACACATGATTTATATAGAATATATATATATATGAATCCAAGGAGATCATTGGGCCAAACAAAGGGCATCGGTCCGCTGGCCTGCGCAGTGTTGAGTGGCGATGTCGAGTTGATTCCCACGCTCGTGCAGAGGCGCGCAAACCTTCACTGTCGTGCCTCAAAGAACTTGGATCTTGATATCATTCCTGGTTTGACTCCTCTTCACTTCGCAGCCAAGCATGCTTGTGATCCCGCTGCCATCATGGCACTCCTAGCATTGCGAGCAGATGTCAATGAGACAGATGCAATCGGAACTTCAGTGATTGGTCACGCAGGGACCAAAGAGATTGCCAAATTGCTCATTGAGATGGAGGCAGATGTGAACCAACGAAAGCCTCCTTTTGGGATGCCACCCCTGTCCGCTTGCATCTTACGTCCATTGGAGCCCGAAGGGCTTTCCATCATGATTGAATCACGGGCCGAACCCAATTGTGGTGCTGGGATGTATTCCCTTTCTCCGCTCTCCACGGCAACAACCTTCCCTGGAATGCCTCATGGCACTGAAATCATGCAGTTGCTTTTGAGAGCACGCGCCGATGTGAACTACCGCGAGAGCTTCTATAGGTCGTTAGCAGTCTCCGCACGACTGTTGTGCAATTTGCAAAGAAGGCCCTCTGTCCTGGTGAAGGGGATTGCAGATTGTACCGGCTCCACTCCTTTGTACATCGCAGCGTGGTTTGGAAATCCAGAAGCTGTTAACTTGCTACTTCAAGCCAGAGCAGATCCGGAGATCAACAACGATCGAGGGGAGCGCTACTTAGATGTCCTGAATCAGCACAATTGCTTCAATATCTCCACAGCAATGACATGGCAAGTGCGCAGCGAGTCTGCTTGGACAGAGGCAAAGTTGTCCAACAACCAATCAATTCCAATCAAAAAGGCTCCACTACACAAAGGGTTGTTTTGGACGTCCGGACTTTAGAGGAGCTCCTTGCAACTGTCACGCACCCCAGTCATCAGTGGTAATTGCGACTGTCCAGTGTTCAGACATGTTCAGACCTAGTCACTAGAGTCATCACTAGTCATCTAAAAGTGCCAGTCATCTCACCAATCAAATCTCCAAACCTCCAACACTCTCAGAAACCATTGGACATCGTCAGTGAAGCATGATAATCATATCATGTCTTAGCGCTTTCATGGTAAAGGTGATCATTTCTTCCGAACCCCTTGTTCCTTGGCATGAACGCCACCCCTCATTGAGACCTCCAACTCCAACAGGTCCAGTCATTGAGACCTTCTGTCCATTTCTTCGAACTCGGAGACAAGCATATTCACCCGGTGCCAAGTTGTTGCAGGTCTTGTTGGCTGAGCGCCCCACGCGCATGGAGTCCTTCGCCTCCTCAGGCAGTGCCCGCTCCACCCGCTCCACCCGCCTTCGCACGGGGCGAGCGCGCGGGAGAGGGAGCGGTGCCAGGAGTAGCCGCGCCAGCAGCGCAGAGCCTGCAGAGGTGGAGTCAGGTCCGGACATCGTGGCCACCGAGCTTTGAACGACTGAGCTCGGATGCTTGATGATCCATATATAATTATAGAAAGACGCTTGCTTTGGGCATGTGTGAGACTGTGGCGCACGCCCAAGCAGCGTTTGAATAGCAGTCTGAGACAAGCCCAAGAGGCTGAGGGTCCAACCCTAAAATTGGCAGATGATGTGGATGAACATGCGCAAGATTGCTTGTTCAAACATCTTTGAATGATTTTGAATGTATTGTCCAAGGGGCTTGACCCACAGCTGTATGGGTACATTTGTCTCAAAATGCGGATCACGATTCCCTGTTTGTTTACCATCCAATCCAAGACGCATGCAAACTAGGTGATGCTGGTCTGGAAATTCGATGCAAGAAGCTCCACAGGAGAAAGCGACACATCCCCTTCGTTCCAGTTCCGATCGGTCGCCGAAAGAGGCACCGGTCGCCGTTGTCCGGATCGCCTGTGAAAGAGGATGAAAAGGGGACCTGTACACAACAAAGTGCCCAAGCCCAGGAGCCCCTAGTAGCGCGTCCTTGCTCCTAGTGCTAAGGCCACG